GGGGTCCGCCACTCGCCGTGCCGTTCCCCAGTGACCCCTCCTCACCGGACACAAGGCATCCGGCCAGAGAGGGTCGCTGGGGAACGGCACGGTGAGCAGTGAACCCCCGCTGCTTTGCAGGGAGGTGGGGGAAGCTCCGCGCAGCCGCCGGCAATGGGCCGGCTGGGGAAATCGTGTTATTCTGGGGACGGTCATGTAATTCAAAAAAGTCTCCCCCCTCCCCCCAAAAAAATCATGCTATCGCGAAAACGTGTTAAGCAGGCACGTGTTAAATGAGGAATTACTGTATTGTGAAGGTACCTGTGGGATTTAAATGGTGCATAGGCCCACAGCACAAGGATGAATTTCGTGCCTGTAAACTGAGGTGCTGGATCAACACAAGGAGATAATTTAGATTAACTTTAAAGCACACAGTATGTAATGCTTTGGTCTCTATTTTCCTCTAATCAGGTGATTGAGAGAGATATACAAGAACTGATTTTGAGATTACTTTAAAGGGGTGTGTGTGTCTTGGTTGATTTAATTCTTCATTGTACAGAAGATTTACAAAGTTAAAAAGACAAACATATCCCCCACCCCCCCAAAAAAAAACCCCTCAACCCTGACCCACTGTGACAAAACACAAAGCAAGGAGACATTAACTATGAAAATATTTTAAAATGAGAAAATAGTATAAAATAAGAGAACAATGAAAATCCTCCCTATCAATAATGGTAATGAGCTCAGTTTTATGGAGAGAAAGAGAGTTTTTCCTTGATAAAAACTGCAGGAAGGGAGCCTAGAAAAATGTGCAGTATAAGGAATTCCCCATGACTTTGTTTAGGGCACTGTATGCATGCAACGCTCCACAGGTTCAAGCCCTAAATGAGTGTCAACATGATTTGTGTGTGCATGTGTGCATGTAAGAAGGCAGAAAAATTCTCCATGAGGAATATAACTATAACTATTTCCATGTAAGCAAGTACATTTTAATGAGGTGTGATCCCTTCATAAAGAAAAACCTTTTGGCTACGTCTAGATTGCATCCCTTTTTCGGAAAAGGGATGCAAATTAGACGTATCGCAATTGATAATGAAGCGTGGATTTAAATCTCCCCCGCTTCATTAGCATAAAAATGGCTGACGCTTTTTTCGGCATGGAGCTTTGCCGGAAAAAAGTGCAAATCTAGACGCGGATCTTTCAGAAAATAAAGCCTTTTCCGAAAGATCCCTTATCCCTTTATTCAAAGCTCCGTGCCAAAAAAAAGTGGCAGCCATTTTTATGCTAATGAAGTGGGGGAGATTTAAATGCCCGCTTCATTAGCAATTGCGATACGTCTAATTTGCATCCCTTTTCCAAAAAAGGGATGCAATCTAGACGTAACCTACATGTTTTTGTGGCAGAAAATATGCTAATGAGGGACTTAGCATGAGTTGTGATGTCATTAGCATATTTTCTGCCCATTCTTTTTGTGCAAGGGGTTTTTGCGCAAAAAGAAGCAGTGTAGTTGGTTCCGTTTTGTGCAAAACCTCCTTTTTCTGCAAGATCCTTATGCCTGTCCTGGCACATGTAGTGCAGACATAGCCTTAAGCTATATCTACATTGTGCTCTCTTGTGCAAGAACATATGCAAATGAGGTGCAGAGATGAATATCGCTGTGCCTCATTTGCATACTTAATGAGCTGCCATTTTTGCGCAAGGGGCTTTTGTGCAAGAAGGAGCATTCTACACTACTCCTGCTTGTGCAAAAAACCCCTCTTGCGCAAGAGCTGTTCTGCCGCTTATTTTCAGGCAGAACGGCTCTTGTGCAAGAGGGGGGTTTTGCGCAAAAATGACGGCTCATTGCATATGTTCTTGCACAAGAGAGAGCAATGTAGACATTGACTACATGTATTAGGCTTAGCTGATATGTTTTGTTTTATTTCTGCTCAGTAACTTACTTTGGTCTGTCTGATTTCATTTTCAATCACTTAAATCTTGCTTTTTTATACTTAATAAAAACACTTTTTTATATTTTCAAATCTGATGAAAATAATTGTTACCTGCGGAAACCAACAGTTGTGCATATCTACATTTCATTGATAAAAGGTGTGAATATCTTTATGTGCTTTTTCTGTGTAAAACTTGTACACAGAGTAAGAGGGATTTATTTGGGATTTGAGTCTATTTGGGGCTGTGCTCCTGGTTGCTGACAACTCCCTGTAGCTGAGCCTTCCCCAAACTAAGCTGCTGTCAGTGTCTGTGTTACTTTACTGGGGGGCTGTTACCCCAACTCTGTGCTTTTGCTTGGGGAATAGTAATAGGAATGTAGCCATGTTAGTCTGGTATAGCTGAAGCAAAATGCAGGACTATGTAGCACTTTAAAGACTAACAAGATGGTTTATTAGATGATGAGCTTTCGTGGGCCAGACCCACTTCCTCAGATCAAATAGTGGAAGAAAATAGTCACAACCATATATACCAAAGGATACAATTTAAAAAAAATGAACACA